CTTTGTGTAAATTTTAACAAATGTTTTCTTTTGTTTAAAAAAAAAAAAATTATTTAGGAGTGATAAGAATTTGCTGAGAGGGTTGTTTTTATGTAAAAATTTTTTGAGCCATGTGCAAAATTTAACAATTGAAGTTATTATTATTTTTGTTAAAACAATTTTATCTTGATTGAGGGTACAAAGACATGACATGATGACATTTTATGATATATGTTTTTAAAGCAAAAAGTTTTAAGTTTCAATAATTTTAGTAGTAATTTGATTACTTACCACTAGCAAAAGGTTTTTAAAAGTTTAATTGTAAAAAAAAAAAAAAGTTTGCATCAAATATTTCATAAAAAAATTTATAGTCATTACTACTTTTAAGTTTTGCATCATCTTTTTCAACCATAATTTTTTTTCTATTTTTTTCTTAATTATTTTACCCAAGCTTTACTTAAGTTATAAATAAATAAATAAATAAATACTTACTCTGACAATCATGATGACTTAATGTAACTGTCAATTAATTATTTCAAAAACGCACATTATTTATAGATGCCATCACCATTTTTTTTTATTATTTCCCCCTCTTTACATTATTGCCTTTTTGTTATCTTTTCTATTGTAATTAAAAGTTATTTTACCTTTAAGACTCGTAGTAATAAATACAAGCAAATAAATAAATCAATAAAACTAAAAAAGGAATAATATCTGAGAGAAGATAATAATTTTTTAAAAAAACGCACACACTGACACACACACACACACACAGAGACAAGAAACTCTTTCTGCGTGTAACGAACTTTTTTATCAAAGCCTCCGCGATACGAAAAAAAAATTTTTTCATTTCATAAAATTCGACGCACGTTCAATAATAAAAACTTATTTTAATATTAATAATTAGTTTTTATTAAATAAATAAATAAAAACGAAATCTAATAATATATAATTATTATTATTTTCAGGTGAATCATTTAATAAAAAACATTATTAAATGATGATATTTAGTTCGACATATTTTTTTTTTTAATCAATCACGGAGGCTTATTCGAACGTGACGTCACAATTCTCATTCGAGACGAGAAAAAAGAACGAATTCAAAATTTAACGTTTTTTGATTTGGTTTATGGACGCAAAAAAAAAAAAAGAGATTAAAAATGTAAGTAATATTAAATTATGTTTTATTTCTTTCTGTCTTTAAAAAATTATCAAATCAATTAATCATCATTTTAAATTAAAGTTTATTATTATTATTATTATTATTATTTAATAGTATTACAGAAAAAATCAATTATATATATATATATATATATATATATATTTTTTTTTTTTTTGTTAAAAATCAAAGTCACAATTAAGCAATGTCATAATAACGGTTGTTGAATAATCATTTTTATTGCTTTTCAAAAAAAATTTTTTTCCTTTACAAAAAAAATTCAAAGTAAAAAAGGTATTTCCGTTGAAGAAGAAAAATTTTTTCTATCACTGTAAAACTTCTTCACCTGAAAAATCAAAAAAATCATTTAAGGTACATATACATATAATGTGTGTGTGTGTGTGTGTGTGTAATAAACAGGAATTTTATAAAAGATTAAGATTTTCTATTTAAAAAAAATTTCAAATTTTAATTAAATATTATTTTAATTAAACAATTTTTAATATGATGATAATTGGGGTTCAATCAAATTAAATCTAAAGGATTAAGGGATGAATGGGGGATTACAAATGTATTGTATGAGATTATAAATGTTAAACCGAGAAAACCCCCAACAAAAAAAAAGAAAAATTTATCATCAAATACATTTCATCTTTATTTCATTCATATATATATATATATTTCAAAAAATGGAAGATATCATGAGAATTCAATCAATCAATCAATCAATCAATCAATCATCAATTTCATTTTGAAAAAAAAAGAAAGAAAAAAAATTAACAAAATTTTTCTTGTATTGTAAATGCTACCATTTATGCATGTGTGTGTGTCTGTGTATGAATATAAAACTTTCATCTGTCAATCAATCAATCAATCAGTCAATCACCACAAATCACAAAAAATATAATCAATCAATCAAATCATTTTTCATTATGTCAAAAATAATAATAATAATAATAATAGTAATTCTGTCAGAGCGGGCAAAAAAGCAAAAAAAAAATTTTTTCTCCCCCCCCCCCTTCACCCCTTTCGGTTAATAAATACTAATAATAATAATAATAATAATGTTCTATCGTCGTACAAGGAAAAAAAACTCAACGGTAAATAATAATAATAATAATAAAACGACTACAAACGAAAAGCGTGAGATGATGATGACAACCGTTTGTTCAGGTTTTCTTTACTTTTCTTTTGCATTGTTTAAACGTATTAAAAAAAAAACAATAATAATAATAATAATAATTTTTATATAAAAAAAAAAAAAAAACGTTAAATTGTCACGATCGGATTTCCACGCCATCGCGATTGTTGTTGTTGTTGTTGTTGTCATTTAAAAAAACGATTAATCGACAAACAACAACA